TTGGTTCAAGTGGCACAACCTCACGGAGTTGTTGCTGACCCCAAACTAATTCTATCGTAATATCCGCAATCCAAACAAAAGTTGGTATAAAGTACTTGTCGTGGATGGTGCGAGTCTTTTCTTTTAATGGAATTTTGTTTGAATTAAGAAGTTAAAGAGAGATTTTAAAAGGAGAACGTCCTTGTATCTTAGTGGTTATTTTGTTCTTTTAAAAAGATTTCTTATACTATTTGAATCTTATTCGTAACATTCAAAAAAAAAAATTAAAAAGAGAGCATATTAAAGTTGAGGATTTTTTTAATCTCTACTTTTATAATACAGATTAATAAATATACTTTTTATAATAAATTTATATAAAAAAATATAAAAATAAATATTAATTTTAATGTTAATATAATGTAAATAAATTTATTTAAATAGTTAGTAAGTTAAATATTACTTAAAAAAAAAAAACTCTCAACTTATACCTTAAAGCACAAATTAAAAAAGCCATAAAGTTAATTAGAGTTGGATTTAAAATAACTTATTGCTGCCAGACTTGGAGTAAATTTAGGAGATTTTGGTCCCAAACATTGAAGTAATCAGCCACGCACTAGAGGTTATGGGGAGTGGGCCGAAAATCATGGTAAACTCCTTTAAAACAAGGGTAAACTGATCTCTTCGGACTAAAATCAGTTTTTTAGGCCCACCTCTCTCGAAGAATGACCTGCACACCTTCTTTTTTTTTTTTTTTTTTTTTTTTTTTTTTTTTTTTTTTTTTCTGATTTGCAGTCGCCTAACACACTTGACTTTAGCTTTGAATTGATCTGCCAGTTTTTCACACAAATTCCAGACTTCAACTTGTAGATTTCTTGTTTTTCGTTGTAATTTGCATCCTTCATTATTGAACTTGGAAGCGAACTAGCCTTGGAATTTAGGTCTTTTTCCTTTATTAGGTTAGTGATCCTATGATGAATTCTACATTTCTAAGTGTTTCATATTACGGTTGTCAGTTTGCTTTCACCACGATTTCTTCAATGCGAAGTTTATGCTTTTTAGAAGTTATTTTCTTCGGATGTTTCATTAGTTTTAAATCTCGTCAATTTCCACATTTCATGATTTTAAAGTAGGTTAATTAGTTGTAATCTAGGTTGAACATAAATTAAATTAGTTTTTGGAATTAAACTTAGTTTGTGTTGTTGTCTAATTTAGCATTAGATCTTTGATCTTTGAGTAGATTAATTGATTTTAGTTTAATATGGAATTATTCTAAATTGATTTCTAGAAGCCAATCTGGTTTGTAGAATTTTAGTCATAGTTTGTAAATTAGCCCAGTTCCAAGTCTGCAAGTTCATCTTGAACGCATATTATCTATGCATTGTTTTTAGTTAATTTTTTTAAGATATTATGTTTAATTTAAGATTAGTTGCTTGTTATACATTTTTGTGGTTTTAAAATTCTTGAAGTTATCCATGACAAGTTGTAACTTATTTTGCAGAACACCACTTATTGTTTTGCAATATCATATATTGGAGGTGTAGATCAATTTATAAACATATGTCCTTTCAGTCATCCTATTTAGAGGTTGATCTCTAGAAAGAAGAGGATGACCAACGAAATCATATTTTCTATTTTTTGACAAAGTGAAAGGCACATAGTAAACCTAAATTCACATAACAGAGCCAATTAAGGACTTTTTAGTAGACACCTATACAAATATTGTAATAAACTAAAAATAATTGGCACACTTTATAAGTAGAACTATTTTATAATAAGAAAAAAAATATTGTGTAATTTAAACTATACGACTTAAACCATTAAATAGGATAATCCCCAATATTAGAGGTTGTTCCTTATCATCTGATAATTCTTATTCCCTCAATTCAATTTTAGTAGTCCTAGTTTGAATTTTTTCTAAAATTTTTTAGATATGAATTTCAAATAAAAATTGAACATATTATATAATGATAATTGAAAATTTTTTTATCAAATAAAAATACTCACCAAAAACTACATATAAAAAAATTTCAATTGTCATTCATTTAAGTTGTTAAATTTTTATATCAATCTATATTTGAAAAATTAATAAGTGAAAGTAAAACTATTAAATTTAAACGAATATAATATTTTACAATTTAATATAGTTCAAGTTAAAAATATAAAGAACTCGTTTTATAATAACCTTTTATTTTCTAATTTCATAAATAAAACTCCCACAATATAATTGGGTTTGTTTTGGGATTTCTAATTCTGCTATCTTTGAGTGCCTTATAGGCTTAACCCTTACCATCATTTAACTGTTTGTCTTTGAGAGTATTTGCCCTTTAATATGTATTTTATGGCTTTAATTCATAAATTTCACATTATTTATTTAATTGGTTTAAAATATACATAATCTTATCATGTGAGTTACATGACTATCTCTACTATATTGCCCTGTCTTCTCATTAGCAACATGATGGCATGCATAAATATAATCTACATGGATCCATAGAAGCGAAAAGATTTCACCCAAAACATACATGTGTCTCATCTTGGGTAGGGTTTTAACCGCTTCCATGAGTTCAACTAGATCATAATTATGCCAATATAGCATTAACAAGGATAGGGTAACAGAATATAGTTTCAAAGACAAATAGTTAGAGGGGTTCCAAAGAGGTTTTGTTCTAATTTTATAAAGGATTAAGAGTACAATAAATACACTTTTATAATTAATTCATATTAAAAAAATTATAAAAATTAACATTTATTTTAATATTATTGATACATGAATTATTTTAATTAATTAATTAAATTAAAATCAAAATTTTCATTTTTAATATAAATTAATTATAAAAAATATATTAATTATACTTAAGTTGTGCCTAAAGCACAAATTGAAAATTCATTTTATGAATAAATTTGGCACTTAGCCGCTTGGACCAATTGGAAATGCTCTCACTTCCTGTTAAGAGCTGATGTGGATTCATTGTTCTCGGCGGAAATTTTATTTTAGTTTATTTTGTTATAGGTGACAAATGCTTTATTTAATGACCATAAAAAATTTTTTATTTAATGAATAGTATTTTATAATTTAAATTATAAAGTATTTTTCTAAAAAAATTATCTTAAAATTTAAATAAAAGATTTCACTTTTGACTCATTAAAATGTTTTTTTTAGATTTATGCTTACTAAATGATAATATTATAATTATAATGTTACATATAATTGTAAATTTATAATTATAATATATTATTAAATAAATATAATATGTCAATAAATAAATAAATAAAATATTATAAATAAATTTTTAAATAAAAAATTTAATTATTTAATTATATATTATATTATAAAATTTTAATATAATATAATACTATAATTAAAATATTTTTCCTACCATATAAATCCCCACGGTTGGTGGATGAAAACAAAATTGAAACAAACAAAGTATACCTTCTTTTCTTATCACTGTATTTCTGTGGTTCAGATTTCCTCTTTTGACTTTCGAGCGGAAAAAGAAGGTGACGGATGACCCATAACCAAGAGCCCTAAACATCTAGAAACCATTGAAATTTAGGTAGCTGAACGCCTGACAGAGCACACAGCCTGCATTGTAGCTGATGTCCTGCCTATACGGAGTCCTCAATATTTTGTTCCCCTGCCCTTTAATGAGTATGTAATATGTTACCCCCATAAAAAAATAATAATAAATAAAAAAGAAGAAGAGTATGTTACATTTATTTTCAGCATTCAATTCAACGGCTGTGTTTATAACCATGCTTAGATACTTTAAAATTACACCAATTATAATTTATGTATCTAATTTAATTAATATTTTATTTATATATAATTTTTTATTACAATTTTTTTTATAAATTGATTTAAATTTATTAAACAATAAATATAAATTGTTTTATTAATTATTAATTATTTTATTTTTATCCGTTATCATTTACTTTTAATAATCAAATAATCAAATAATCAAATTGTAATTCGTGTGCGCTTCACACCCTTTTCAGTGGCCATAACCGCACCTCAATTTCACCTACAGGTACCAAACTAATTGTCAATAAAGAGAATCCTTTAACTAAGTGTCCAGTGTCATGAGCAGTATATGGAGGAAAGGAAAGTCCAACTAATTTACTTACAAAAGTTAGAAGATAATTAAGTTTGCATGAATTCTTTCTTCCTATGCACCTATTATTATTTTTCCTTTCCTTGTGTGCTTTATTGTTTTTTTTTTTTTAACATTAGAGAAGTTGTTTGGTATTATAAAAATATAAATTTTTTATTTTAACTCAAAATTAAGTTTTTTAATTAATAGATATCAACTCAATTAAGTTTTTATGTGCTACTAATATAGAGGTTATTTGGATAAATTGTTTAAATATAACTAATAATTAATAATTAATAATTAACAACTAATAATTATTATTATTTATAATTTAAAGTATCTAATTAATTTAATTAGTACCAACAACTTACAACTATTTGTAAACTCTCAAACCAAACACCCTTGTACTTTTGTAGTGAATGTAAATAACCATGATCTTTTTTTTTTTTTTAAATGTTGAGGGTGGAATCTAAATCTCACACCACCAAGTTAATATAAGTTCCTAACGAAGGAAAGGTGGCTACTAGGCCATATAAGGACATTCTCATAAGTAGCTGTGACTTATATAATTAGTTTGTAAAGATATTCATTCCTTGTTTTATTTATTAAAATTTGAATTTTTTTAAAAAATTAATAAAAAATAATTATTCAATGATAAACTGTGTGCATTATCAAATATCTTTTATTGACAAAAGTAATAAATTTTATTTGTGCATGAAGTACTCCAAGGAGTACCCAACCATTAACTATATATGGTAAAACATACATATATAATTGGCCAAAAATCAAACTTATCAATAGAAGCGGCAAGCTACACTATGCTCCTGCCTTGAATCTATTACTCCTAACTGATCTGGATAAACCACTGCCACATTTATACCAGTGAACACCTTATTCAGCATTAGAATTCAAGCACATCCCTTTCACGCCCTATCAATTTTTGCTGGGCTTGGGAGGAAACAAAATAATTAAATAGCTTCTTTTCCTTGATTATATGTTGCTTACTTTTAGCTTTCGATGAAAAATAGAGATGAGAGGTAGAGAGAGAGAGAGAGGTTGGGGTCGGAGATTACAGGGCAGACGTTTAGCACAGGCATATGAGAGGTATAGATTCCAGGATAGGGGTCGTCACCAACAGAATTCGAGTGTCTATGACAAGTGAGTATACAACCAGGCAATCTCGTTTTTCTTCACAAATTTCCCAGACGATTGGTCATTCGAGCAGATGTGGCATACATTCAACAGACTAGGCCGCGGACGGGTGTTAGAGATTGATTGTCCGGTGAAGAGAGACAGATTGGGCAGACGATTCGGGTTTGTCCGATTCCTAGATGTGCAGAATGAAGGAGAACTGGAAAGAAGTCTAAATGAAGTCCGGATAGGGAATCATGTATTGCAAGCAAACAAACCGAGGTTCATGAAGAGGGATCGAACTATAAAGGAGACTCCTAGCAATCACCCCAGGACCCGGAAATGGAGCCATCAAGACACTAAGGGTGACAGTAGCAGACCAACATACGCTGAGGTTGTACAAGGTGCTATCAGAAAGAGGGGAAAAGGACACATGAATAGAAGATGGGAGAGAAGAACAGGGCAGAGGAATGGAAGTAACGATATCAGCAACCATGAAGGCCAACAGAGGGAATGGCAACCAAAGCAACAGCACCAGCACTAGTCCGGTATAGAGCTGAATTTTGATCAGGAAGAATATGCATGGCTGAAAAAGTGTTTTGTTGGTAAAGTTCATTCAGTTAACTTGATTCCTAACCTGCAAGAAAAATTCTTCTTGGAAGGAGTTTTCTATTGCAAGATCACACCTATGGGAGGCAGATTAGTGCTATTAGAAGGTAAAGATTATGAGGATTTGAAGGAATTGGTTGATAGGGGAAAAGACTGGATGGGGCAGTGGTTTGAAGAGGTGAATCCTAGGTCCCCTTCTACGGTTGCTACAGAGAGGTTTGCTTGGATACGATGTCAGGGGCTACTAGCGCATACTTGGAAATTTGAGACTTTCCAAACCTTCGGAAGGTTATGGGGAAATCTAATATCCCTAGATGATAGCACAAGCAGCAAGAAGAGATTTGACGCTGCAAGATTCCTAATCTCTACTCCATCTTCAGAGACAATCTACAAGTCTATCAAAGTAAAGATTAATGGCAAGTTCTTCATACTGAAGTTCACAGAGGAAGAGTCAACTAATTCACTATTCACCATGAGGTCAGACAAGGTACTCCACGATCCAAACGAAGAAGAAGATGAAGAAAACAGTTCCTTAGAAAGCCTGTATGAGTTAGATTCAGTAAAAAACGTGGAGCTTCTAGAACAAGCTGAGTGTCAGATATCGGGCGATGAAGACAGTGGTGACAAGGAGGACACGGAGGATGAACTGGCAATCCAGAATGCTGTCGCTGGTGACAGGAGGTTGACAGAGGATGATCTGGCAGCACAGCTTGATGAGGATCAAAACAAGATAGAAGTGACAAGACATGATGATGAGGTGGCCAGCCACAGCGAGACATTGGAAGGCTTTAGACGCAAGGTGGGCGGGATAGCTTCTACCAATACCGAGGTGGTTGAGGAAACAATGGGTATGGGTGAATCCAGGAAGGGATTTCAGAATCCAATTTCAAATTCAAAAAATCCAGAAGAGGGGGATACAAGAAAGATTATGGAGGATCCAGAATTGACGACTAATAAAGCTGGTCAAGGAAATTTGGAAAATGACAGCCAACTCAGTACCAATGAAGAGAAGGGTAGCTTCGGCAAGTCTAATCAAAAGAGAAAAAATACAACAAAAGAAGGAAGTAGAAGTAGTGGATCAGAGGAAGAATATGATAGAGTTTTAGCGGATGGGCCATCAACAAAAGAAATGGGCCTACAAGAGGAGACGAGGCCGAGAGTGGATGATCCTCATAAGCCACCACTTGCAGGCCCAGCAATGCAGACGGAGAAAACTAATTGCAGGCCAAAAATAAAAATCAGACAAACTGTCTCCTCTTTTTGGGACGATCTCGATAGTGATCCTGATATCCCTGCACCTTGGATGAACAACAATGTTGGGTACAGGAGAAGAAAAAAGAAAAGAAGAGCAAAGTCTTGTGCCTCAGTCTACAGGAAAATAGGGGGATTGGAAGGCTTCCTTGTTCAACAAAATCCAGGGCAGAGAAACGCATCAGCGAAAGCAAAAAAGGAAATTCTGTTTGAAAAAAACTCAGAGAAACCGGTAGCGGATGACTCAATCAACGACAACAACATCCAAAATCGGAACAGAAGCATTGAAATAAGAAGCAAAAAAAGGAACACGGAAGCTTTATGGTCCCAAATCAAAGAGATAGGGGTAACGGCACAAGGAAAGGAAGTAGTGGTGGTTTAGAAATTGAAAGAAATGGAAAGTCGCGACAAGGAAAAATGGAGGAAGAAGGAAGAAAAGAAACACAGAAAAAGAGATCAGGTGATGCCACACTTCTAATGATTTTACTATCTATTAATATTAGAGGATTATGGGGGGTAGGAAAAAAAAGGGAGATCCGGGAGTTGATTGTCAAACATAAAGCTGATGTATTGTTTGTTCAGGAAACAAAATTGGAGTCTGTAGATAATAGGCTGTGTAGCATGTTGTGGGATTCAGATAATTTTCCGTGGGTGGCACAACCCGCTAATGGAGCATCAGGAGGAATATTAATTATTTGGAATGCTTCTGTCTTCAAGAAGATCAGTAGTTTTCAAGGGGCAGGATTTTTGGGGATTCAGGGGACTTGGGGAGAAGAAAATACTCCCTGTTATCTGGTAAATATCTACTCTCCTTGTGATCTGATTGCTAAGAGATCCTTATGGGAGAACCTGTCCAATACAATCTCCTCTCATAAAGGTAACTAGTGCATAGCTGAGGACTTCAATGCCATCCGAAGTCTTCAAGAACGAAAGGAAGGTACCAGTGTCATGAGGGAGATCAGGGAGTTTAATGAATTCATTGAGATGAATGGGTTGGTGGATCTCCCTATGATAGGGAGAAAATGCACTTGGTACCAACCGAATGGCAGCTGTATGAGTCGCTTGGATAGATTCTTATTCTCTGAGGAATGGATGGTTAAATGGACAGATTTGAAGCAATGGGGGTTACCTAGGTCTCTATCAGATCACTGTCCAATTCTCATGAAGGATGAAGCACGAAATTGGGGCCCCAAACCATTCAGATTTTATAATGTGTGGCTTCAAGATCCTACATTCAAAGAAATGGTTGAGAATCAGTGGAATAATTCAGATACTTGAGGATGGGGAGGCTTTGTGCTGAAAGAGAAGTTAAAAAGATTGAAATCTAGTGTGAAAGAATGGACACGGAATCATGTGCAAGTGGTGGATAATCAAATTGAGAAAGCAAAAGCCAATTTAGCTGAATTCGACTATAAAGGGGAAGTACAACAGCTTAATGAGTTGGAATGCCTCCTTAAGAGAGACCTAATGGTAGCTATATGGGAAAATATTCAAACTAAAGAGGAAATGGCAAAACAAAAATCAAGGATGACATGGATGAAAGAAGGGGACGCAAACACAAGTTTTTTTCATCGATGAATTAAAGGCAGATGGAGAAGGAATGAGATTAATTCCTTATCAGTAAGTGGGAGGGTTTTGCAAGAAGTCAACGAGTTAAAAGAGGGAGTAACCGAATATTTTATGAATCTTTTCGCAGAGGATGGCTGGAAGTGGCCAGTTTTAGATGAAGTGGGATTTAAAAAAATTTTCGAAGCTGATAAGGAGCTCTTAACAGAACCATTCCTTGAATCAGAGGTCAAAGCGATAGTTTGGAATTGTGATAGTGCAAAGGCTCCAGGCCCAGATGGTTTCAGCTTTGGGTTCTTAAAAGCAGAATGGGAAGTGATCAAAGAAGACATTCTAAAGTTTCTGGCAGATTTCCATAGTAACAACAGATTGGTGAGAGGCTCCAATCCATCATTTCTGGTGCTGATACCAAAAAAGGAGAATCCACAAGGAATCGATAAGTACAGACCTATCTCCTTGATAGGTTGTATGTATAAAATCCTTGCTAAAATCTTAGCCAATAGATTGAGTAAGGTCATGGATGGGCTCATAGGTGATCAACAATCAGCATTCATCGGAGGGAGACAACTAGTTGATGGAGTAGTCATTGCGAATAAAACGATCGATGAGATTAGAAGAAAAAAAATGAGATGCTTTCTTTTTAAGGCCGACTTTGAGAAGGCATATGACAATATCAGCTGGGAGTTTCTGGATTACATGCTAGAGAGAATGAATTTCGGGTCGATTTGGAGGGGATGGATCCAAGAATGTCTCCGATCAAACTCGGTCTCAGTTCTACTCAATGGTAGTCCAACAAAGGAGTTTGCTATGCAAAGAGGACTAAGGCAAGGTGATCCTCTAGCTCCTTTCTTGTTTCTTATTGTAGCGGAAGGACTTAATGGAATCATCTCGTCGGCGGTTGAGAGAGAACTATTCGAAGGAATCCCAATTGGAGGAGGGGGTATTAATATCTCCCATTTACAGTTTGCAGACAACACCCTAATATTCGGGACAGCAACAGAAGACAATGTATGGACGACAAAATGCATTATGAGGGCCTTCGAACTTGTCTCCAGCTTGAAAATAAACTATGGTAAAAGCTCCTTTATTGGAATCAATGTTGACAATCTATGGGAAAAGGAAATGACATGGCTATTAAACTGCAAACCAGGATCCTTGCCGTGTAAATATTTGGGTATCCTCTTAGGAGCAGACCCGAGAAGGCTTGATACATGGAAGCCACTCATCGATTCTTTTAAAATAAAAGTATCATTGTGGAGGGGGCAATATCTATCTTTTGGAGGAAGAATCACTCTCATCAACTCTATACTGTCTAGTCTTCTAGTGTTTCTAATGTCCTTTCACTGCCTACCAAAGAGTGTCATAAGGGAGATAGACAAAATTAGGAGGAGATTTTTATGGGGGGGGGGAGTAGGGGAGAGGAAAAAAGTCGCATGGGTAGCATGGGAGAACATTTGTCTGAATAAGTTCGAAGGGGGCTTGGATATTAAAAATCTGTCATGCTTCAATAAATCATTACTAGGAAAATGGTGGGGAAGATTGCTTATGGAGAAGGGGGGGTTGTGGAAGAGAGTCCTAGCTGAAAAATATGGGATTAAGGAAGGGTATTGGCTTACTTGCTTAAAGGAGGGCAGTTCCCAAGGATCCAAATGGTGGACGGATGTTTGCAAAATAGATCAAGGGGAGGGTATAACGAATAATTGGGTGAGCTTAGGGTTTGAAGCAAAATTGGGGGACGGTGGAACCTTGAAATTTTGGTCGGATGTATGGGTAAGAGGGAGAGCACTCTCTAACAAATTTCCTCATTTTTTTTCGTTATCCACAGGCCAAAATGAAAATGTCAAAGATATGGGAACTTGGAGGAATAACAGCTGGAACTGGGAATTACCATGGAAGCGTCAACTTCGCTCATGGGAAGAGGAATTAGAAAGAGAGCTGCTAGAGACAATCAAAACTGCTCACCCAATTCAGAACAAAAAAGATCAATGGAGATGGCATCTCGATCCCTCAGGAATTTATTCAACCAAGTCTGCATACTCTCAACTCTCAAAGGGTGTTTCAAGACATGCAGGAGACTTCAAGAGGGTATGGAAAGTCCCCATTCCACCTAAAGTAAGTGCATTATGTTGGCAACTGCTTCATAGAAAACTTCCTACAGAAGATAATCTAGCATCTCATGGAATTTTAAAGGACATCTCAAGTTTAAATTGCTGCTGGTGTGATACATTACACGAGAGTCCTGACCACATATTTTTTCATTGTAATTTGGCTTTCTCTTTGTGGATGAAATGCTATAAGTGGTGGGGAGTGAAGTATGTTATGAGTAACTCATGCAGGATGATTTTAGAACAACACAAATGGACTGGGGGCAATAAATTAATAGATAAAGGATGGAATATCATTTGGTTTGCAGTGGTATGGACTCTATGGCTGGGAAGGAATGACTTGATTTTTAACAAAAAGGAGGCAAAGGCCAACTATTTATTTGAGCTAGTCCAAACTCGATCTTTCTACTGGGCTAAGCATATAGCTGGAATGGACGAGATATCTCTGTCTGCTTGGTGCGAGAACCCAACCAACTGTTTAAAGAACAATTTCAATTAGAAAGACAGTGTCTAAACTAGTCTTTTTTGGATCTTACTCTGTTTTTGCTCCGTTACAGCAGTCGGCAGGATATTTTTTGGAACCTGCTGTTTTGCTGGGTGTAAAAATTTGGGTTGGAATACCCCTAGTATTCCAATATTAATATATCATTTGCTTTTCAATATATATATATATATATGTTGCTTACTTTTTGTATGCTTATTATTATTTTTCTTGTGCAGCTTTAATTTGTTTTCTTATTTAAATTGTTTCGTTTATGGTTAAGATATGTTGATCATTTGCAATTGGGTCTTCAAATTCAGTGACGTCAAGCCACGTTTAAGTGCATTCCCTTCCTCCGAACAACAGTTTGAATTCAGCCCATTATAAAATTGATAAAAAAAAAGATATGTTGATCATCTATTTTTATAATTTTTATGTATTATTAAATAAATTTATATATAATATTATGAATTTTAAAAATATAAAAAATTAATCATTAATAAATAACAGATAAAATTATATAAAAAAAATTTTAATCAAATTCTCCTTTTATATATATATATATATATCCTTTGACAAACATTTGAATAGTTTATATATGTGATATATAATACGTAAAATCATTATTTAAATTGAGAAATTAATTTTCCCACAATAACTGTGTTTTTTTTGAAAAAAAAAAAATTTATATGAAATTCCGATGGCAGTACTTGACATTATCAACTTTCACACTGTACCACCGTTAATTCCATGTCATTATCGTATTGACTATTGACGGTGCACCCTTGATGTCTATCCTCTTTGGCCGCTTCTCTATTTCGCTTCTACCTCTAACCAAACTGTCAATCATCATCTTCTCCTCACACATGCTAGTTATCTAACAGTCAAAGTATGTCTCCCTTAGAAAATTTGACACAGCTCTGCAAGATATATATTTACACTCCTCATTACTCCTGTAATGCACACCCAAATACCCATCTCGATCCCCACGGACTGCCCGTAAAAATTGCATATTTCAAAACCATGGGATCTGAATCTCTTGTTCATGTCCTACTTGTTTCTTTTCCCGGCCAAGGCCATGTGAACCCTTTGCTTAGGCTTGGCAAGCGCCTAGCCTCAAAGGGCTTGCTTGTGACCTTCACCACACCTGAAACCACCGGAAAACAAATGAGGAAAGCAAGCAACGTGAGCGAGGAGCCAACCGCAGTTGGCGATGGTTATATCCGGTTTGAATTCTTTGAGGACGGATGGGATGAGGATGAACCGAGACGTCAAGATCTTGACCAGTACTTGCCTCAGCTGGAGAAAGTGGGAAAAATAGTGATTCCTGAAATGATCAAGAGAAACGCGGAACAGAACCGCCCTGTTTCTTGTCTCATCAACAACCCCTTCATTCCTTGGGTGTCTGTTGTCGCGGAGAGTCTCGGGTTGCCCTCGGCGATGCTTTGGGTGCAATCTTGTGCTTGTTTTGCAGCTTATTATCATTATCATCACGGGTTGGTGTCGTTTCCGAGTGAAACTGATCCTGAGATTGATGTTCAATTGCCTTCTATGCCCCTTTTGAAGTACGATGAAGTTCCTAGCTTCTTGCATCCAACTACCCCTTATCCTTTCCTGAGGAGGGCTATTCTTGGTCAGTACAAAAGCCTTGATAAGCCTTTCTGCATATTGATGGAGAGCTTCCAAGAACTCGAACCTGAAATCATCGAGTATATGTCTAAGCTCTGTCCCATCAAACCTGTTGGTCCACTCTTCAAGAACCCTAAAGCTCCAAACAGTGCCGTCCGTGGTGACCTTATGCCTCAGGCTGACGACTGCATCGATTGGCTCAACACCAAGCCACCTTCCTCTGTGGTGTATATCTCCTTCGGAAGTGTCGTCTACTTAAAGCAAGAACAGGTGGACGAGATTGCTCATGCTTTGTTGAACTCCGGTATTACTTTCTTGTGGGTGATGAAACCGCCACATAAAGATTCCGGTTATGAGCTCCTCACACTTCCGGAGGGTTTCTTGGAGAAAGTTGGGAATAATGGTCAGGTGGTTCAATGGAGTCCCCAAGAGAAGGTGTTGGCTCACCCTGCGGTTGCCTGTTTCGTGACTCACTGCGGTTGGAACTCGACCATGGAGTCCCTCTCTTCAGGGATGCCGGTTGTCGCCTTTCCTCAATGGGGTGATCAGGTGACGGATGCCGTGTACTTAACTGAGGTGTTTAAGACTGGAGTGAGGATGTGCCGTGGAGAGGCAGAAGATAGGATTATTGCAAGGGACGAAGTTGAGAAGTGTTTGAAAGAGGCCATGGTGGGGCCCAAGGCAATGGAGATGAAGCAAAACGCCTTGAAGTGGAAGGCAGCGGCGGAGGCGGCCATCGCCGAGGGTGGTTCTTCCGACAGGAATTTGCAAGCGTTTGTGGATGAGGTGAAGAGGAGGAGTATGGAAATTGCAGCTGGAAAGTCAACCAAAGGGGTGGGTGGGGATTTGACCAAGAAATCAACGGAAAACGGGAAGGTAGAGGTGGAGGCTTGAGGTTGGTGGACACGTGTGCAGAAACTATTGGGC